GTTATAAACAGTGGTGTACTGGTAAACCCAGTGGTATACTAGTAAACCAACTCTAAAAAGAAGAAAGGAATCACTCTGATACATAGCCTTTGCAAATTCACATAGTGTAGATACTCCCACTATCGCTGATTTCAAGCTACTAATGTGAATGTAAAGTTACTAAATGCAAAGTTGGGAAAAGATGCATGGAATCAACTCTTGCAAGCTGACTCTGGCATGTTACTTATGAATAATATCACAAGACTTAACAAATACTTTTAAGAAACCCTTTCTCATATCAGATAATATAGTTAAAGACATAAAAGAAGGAACTAAAACCATAAATAATTAAAAGTCAGCATAAAAAAGGACAGGAAGATTTGACAACTTCCCACTTGAATTTCCAGATACTTAGGATATAGAGAATGACACAAAACCTCAATAGGTAGTGTGGTAGGCACAATTTTGCCCTCTTGCCCAGTGATCTCTGGCCTTTGTGTTACTCCTATGACTGTAATATATTACATGGCAAAAAGGATTTTACAGATGTAATTAAAGTTACTAACCAGCTGACCTTAATATAAAGAGATTATTTTAGATTATCCAGAAAAGCCCAATGTAATCATATAAACCCTAAAAAGCAGCAGAAAAAGGTAGAGCATGGAGTGAGAGAGATGTAGCAGAATGTTAAGTTAGAGAGATCTCAAGAATGAGAAGGATTTGAGGCATAATTGTTAGCCTGAAGATGAAAAGAGATCACATGACAGGGAAGCAGGAACTTCAGCCCTGCAAGTGCAAAGAACTGAATTCGTCCAACCAACAGTGAATTTGGAAGAAGGCCCCAAGTCCCATATGAGAACCACAGTCATGGCAAATACCTTAATTGAAGCTTAGCAATTCCTTAAACGGAATATTCCCAAACTAATTGGGCCCTTATCTTACACCATACACAAAAATCAACATTATGCTAGACATCTGATTTATAGAAACTGTGAGATAATAAATGGGTGTTGTTTGAAGCTGCTAAGTTTCTGGAAATTTGTTATGACAGCAATAGAAAACTAAAAACAGTTAACTAACAGATTAAACACAGCTGAAGGTAGCATTCATAAAGTAAAAAATACAACTGAAAAAATATGCAAAATGTAGATAGAGAAATAAAGAGATGGAAAACATGAAATAGTAGTAAGAGAATGGAAGAATGAATAAGAAATTCCAACATACATCTAATAGGAGTACAAGAAGAAGACAATAAATAGAATGAAAAACAATATTTGATGAGTTATTGGCTACGGATTTTCAAGAATGAATGAAAAGCATAAATTCCATGTTAATGTTGTTAAATAAGTTCCAAGGAAGGCAAATAAAAAGAAATCCACACCTGGATGTATTGTAGTATTGAAAAATAACAGAGTCAAAGAGAAAAACCTTTAAAATTAAAACCTGAAAGACAGAAATTACAGCTATTATATCAATTACAACAACTGAATCCAGAAGGATAGAGTTATATCTTCAAAGACTGATAATAAAAATAATTACTAACTCAAAACATTGAGAAGACAAGCCATAGACAGAGAGAAAATATTTGCAAAAGAAATCTGATACAAGATTATTTTCTAAAATACACTAAGAACTCTTAAAACTGAACAGTTAAAAAAAAACAAACCTGATTTTAAAATGGAAGAATTAACATGAGCAATCAGACAAGGAAAAGAAGCAAAAGACATCCAATTTGGAAAGAAAGAGGTAAAAAGAGGTAAAATGATCTGTTCTCAGATGATGTGATCCCATATTGTAAAAACTTCTTAAGATTTCACAAAAAAAACCTGTTAAAACTAACGAATGAATTAAGTAATGTTGCAGGATACAAAAACAATAAAATTTTTAGGAATAAATTTAACCAAGGAGGTGAGAGATCTGTAGCCTGAAAACTATAAAACACCAATGAAAGAAATTGAAGACACAAATAAATGGAAAGATGGCTCTTGTTCATGGATTGAAAGAATTAATATTGTTAAAATGTCCGTACTACTCAAAGTGATATACAGATTCAGCATAACCCCTATCAAACTCCAGTGGCATTTTTCACAGAAATGAAAAAAATTCTAAAATTTGTGTGGAACCACAAAAGACCCCAAAGAACCAAAGCAATCTGGAGGAAAAAGAACACAGTTGGAGATATCACACTTCCTGATTTCAAATTATATTACAACACTATAGTAATCAAAACAACATAGAACTGACATAAAAACAGACACATAGACCAGTGGAACAAAATAAAGAGGACAGAAATAATTCCAAGCAATATACAGTTAACTAATTTTCAACAAGGAAATCAAAAATACACAAAAAAGTAAGACAGTGAATGGTGTTGGGATAACTGGATATCCACATACAAAGAATGGAATGGGGCTCTTACCTTCCACCATACATAAAAATCAATTCGAATTGGATTAAAGACTTAAACATAAGACCTGAAGCCATAAAACTCCTTAAAGAAAATATTAGGAAAAAGCTTGTTGACTTTGGGCTTGATAATGGTTTTTTTGTTTGTTTGTTTGTTTGTTTTTGTTTTGTTTTGTTTCTGAATATGACACCAAAAGCTCAGGCAACAGTAGGAAAAATAGCCAAGTGGGACTACTTCAAGCTAAAAACCTCTGTGTAGCAATGCTAACAATTAATGAAATGAAAAGACAATCTAGAGACTAGGGGAAAATATTTCCAGACTATATAGCTGATAAGGGGTTAACATAAAAGATATCTAGGGAACTCACATAACTTAATAGCAAATAAACAAACAACCTGATAAAAAATGGTCAAAGAATCTGAATAGATATTTTCCCAAAGAAGACATACAAATTGACAACAAATATATGAAAAAGTGCTCAACGTCACTATCAGGGAGATTCAAATCAAAGCAATAATAAAATGTCACCTCACATCTGTTAGAAAGGCTATTTTCAAAAAAACAAAAGATAGCAAGTGTTGGCAAGGATGTGGAGAAAAATAAATTCTTGAATGCTGTTGGTGGGAATGTAAATTGGCACAGTCATTCTGGAAAGTCATTCTGCAGTTTCTCCCAAAAAATTAATAATAGAGCTACCATAAGATCCAGAAGCCCCTCTTCTTGGTATATACACAAAGGAAATGAAATTAGAACCTCAAAGAAATATCTGTGCACTCATGTTCATTGCAGCACTGTTTATAATGGGCAAGATACAGAAACAATCTAAGCATCTGTTGATGGAAGAATGGATAAAGAAATTATGGAAATTTGATAAGAAAGTAGATTTCAGGTGCTCTCACCATACAAAAATGTAACTATGTGAAGAGATGGATGTATAAATTTGCTCGACAGTAGTAATCATTTCACCAAGTATATGTATATGAAAACAACATGTTTCATACCTTACAAATAATAATAGAAAATGGGTAAAATATCTTAACTGACACCTTACCAAAGAAAATATACAGGTGGCAAATAAGCATGTGAAAAGATGCCCGACGTCTTATGTCATTAGGGCAGACTTCAGTAGGGGCAGGGAGTTGGAATCAGAGTTGTCCATAAAAATATAAAATTCCTGGGTATTCTGAGAAATCTTGGGAAGGGAAGTAGGGTTTCTCCATGTGTGGGCTCAATCCAATCTCATTTAGATTTTCAGGCACAGGGGAAGAAGCCCTAGGAAAAGTCTGTTACATGACAAGCCAGTGGAATAGGGAACCTGTCTTGGTGAAGTTCTCAGTCATGGAAAGGACTGAAGTCAGTGAGCACATTCAAACTCCCAGTAATGGGGCACTTGTGAGGCCTGTCCTGGGAAGAGAGAATTGTGATTCACAATTCAGGTCAGTGACTGGAGGCTGGGTTCTTGTAGCTCTGCGTCTCTGGCTGTCAAGGTCCCATATGACCCTCCAGATGCACACCTTAGCCCGGGGGCCAAGAGAACACCTTTTTTTTTTAACCTTTGTCTCATTTGTCAGTGTTCACCGATGCTTTAGAAACTTGCAGAAATATTTTTTTGTCAGATCTGGGAATCAGGAGCAAAGCAATCTCGGTAACTACGATCACATGTAGAAAATTTCACGTGCTAACTCCAATACCTGTATGTGCTAACTCTAATGGTGCTGAGGGATTTTATTTGCACCATTTTATCAATCTGTGCCTCTGATTCCCAGGCACATAGGGAATATTTCTCACCTACGATATAGGAACAGTTTGAAAAATAACAGTGTAAATACCACTATGTTCAGAGGTCTCCAGCACTAAATGTGGTCTCTGAAAAAACAAATTCAATTTTCCAGAAGAGAGAGCCCACCTGCTCTTTCCAGGAAAAATGCCCATCCCAGGTTCTGGAGGAGAAACTCAGTATGTTCTTGTCATAAGCTTATGCTTCTGGGTCAGATATGACTCAGAAAAATGACGATTGAGCCCCGAGTTTCAGCCTAATGTGGGAGTTCCAGGGATAGCATTCAGCGAAGTAGTGACTCATTTCCATTTGGTTTGGCTTGTGGGAGTAACAAGGCATCACTCCACTGACTGTAGACAGAAGGTATAAATGGCTCAAGCACCCTCCCCCATTTGCAGACTCAAGATTCCATTCTAACGTCAGAAAGCATGGCTAACAAAATATTCCCAGTATTATTCACTGGCTTCCTAGTCCTGGCTATATTTTTGAGCCCCAGTTTGAGTGACTAATAACGTATGGATTTTCAATAAAAAGTACACCAAAAAGCAGTTTATAAATTCAAGCATACTGGGAAAGAATTTGAACAGTATGTATTCTCTGAGGCGCTACATGAATGGATCTGTTTGTTTGCCAAGCAGAGTTTTGGTTGGCAAACTCAAACCCTGCTTCCATTGACATAAAGCAAGATGCAGCAGAACTGTGAACACTATCTGTAATACCATGTTTTCCTGGTTGCCAGCACATGTATATATTAAGGTGTACCCTGAAATACAGGAGGCCTTTCTAGGACAAGAATTCTAAGACCGAATCATTGGCCTTTGACAAGGGTGTGATGACGCCACACATGATCTTCAGACTCCCTGACCCTCACCTGTTTGTCTTTTTCTGAGACCCTTTCTCCTCATGGATGCTCATTGCCCCAGGTCCTCTTGTGTCTTCACATTTCTAAAATATGCCAGTAGGAAAGAGATGTGCTAAGGCATGATCTGGAAAGCTTCGTCTGCAACATCTTCTGAATTATTTATGTTTTACCCTGGGAATCAACTTGTCTCTCACATCAAACAAAACGTTTTCTGTTTGCTGGTGGTTTGGCGATTCCTAGACTTTTGGATTTTATAAATGAGTACATTTTATATAAAATATTTCAGGATTCAAAGAGGACTGGCAAATCATTATTTTGTTAAGTAAGGACAATAACTAATGACCATGTCAAATCATTTATAAGATAAATAATATTTTCATGTGAAATGGTGGAAAACTACAATTTCAGAATAAAGAACAGTCTTCAACAGGTAAGATTATGTATATAATATGTTTTCATGTTCAACATGGTCCCGATTTTTTATCAATTTCTTTTCATATGAGGAAATCATCATCATGGACCATCATAGTTCATGAACCAGCATGAGTGCAGATGCTTGGAGCTGGAAGATTAGCAGCTCACCTTTAGCTGGTGAGAAGCTTGCTGCTAAAGTTTGTTGAGGAGGAGCAGTGCCAGGATAAGGGGGCAAGAAATGTGACTCTTGAGCTGCAGGTGATCCTGAGGAAAGACACTGAATTTGGGAGAAGATGTAGACAGACAAAGATAGAAGATCTTGAGGACTCTAGATGATCTGACTGAGGGGGCAGGGCCTGAGGTGGGTAGAAGTGGGGGCAGGGTGTCTGGTGAAAAGTCATTCACATCAGGGACAGAAGAGAAGAGAGGCAATGAAAAGTCCCTAAAGACCATGACTGTGAACTCTCAAGGTGCTCATTTAGAATGTTTTGTGGACAAGGATGAAGGAACATTGATTGATTGATTGGTTGATTGATTGATTGCATGAGATTCATTTGATTCATTCATGAATGCATTTATCTAAAAAGCAATTGTTGAGTCAGGTAATTCACTGAGGACTGGGGCTATGGAAATTAATAAGGCACAGTTTTTGTCCTAAGATATGTGTAATTATTTACAAATGGTATACAGTCGTGCATTGAATAACAATGTTTTGGTTAACAATAATCTATGATGGTGGGTCTTAGAGATTATAACGGAGCTGAAAAACTTTAATTGCCTAGTGACATTGTAGCTGTCATAACATCGTCATATAATGCATTGCTCATGTGTTTATGGTGATACTGGTGTAAATAAACCTACTACACTGCCAGTTGTATAAGAGTATAGCACATAACAACTATACACAATACATAATACTTGATAGTGATAACAAATGACTATGTTACTGCTCTTGTGTATTTACTATACTATACTTTTTATTGTTGGGGTGTACTCCTTCTACTTATTAAAAATAGTTAACTGTAAAACAGCCTCAGGAAGGTCCCTCAGGCAGGTCCCTCAGGAGGAATTCCAGAAGTTGATATTATTATCACAGGAGATGACAGCTCCATGTGTGTTATTGCTTCTGAAGACCTTGCAGTGGGACAAGTTGTGGAGGTGAAAGACAATGATATTGATTATTTTGACCCTATGTAGGCCTATCCTAATTCGTGTGTGTCTTAGTTTTTTCTTTAAATGTTTAAAAAATTTAAAAAAAGGAGAAAATTATGATATAAAGAAAAGATATTTATGCAGCTGTCCAAAATGTGTTTGTGTCTTAACCTAAGTAGTATTACAAAGGAGTCCAAAAGTTACAAATAATTAAAAGGCTTATAAAGTAAAAATGTTACAGTAAGCTAAGATTAATTTATTATTGAAGAAAAAATTTAAAAAATAAATCTAGTGTAGCCTAAATGTACCATGTTTATAAGTCTATAGTGGTGTAGAGTAATGTCCTAGGCCTTCACAGTCACTCCCCATTCATTCACTGACTCACCCAGAGCAACTTACAGTCCTGTTAGCTCTATCCATGGTAAATACCCTATCCAGGTGTAGCATTAAAAAAAATATTTTATGCCATATTTTTACTGTACCTCTTTGTGTTTAGATATGTTCAGATACATAAATACTTACCATTGTGTTACATTGATTATAGTATTTTTTTTTGAGATGGAGTCTCGCTCTATCACGCAGGCTGGAGTGCAGTGGCGTGATCTCAGCTCAACACAACCTCTGCCTCCTGGATTCAAGTGATTCTCTTGTCTCAGTCTCCTGAGTAGCTGGGACAACAGGTGTGTGCTACCATGTCCAGCTAATTTTTGTATTTTTAGTAGAGACGGAGTTTCACCATGTTGGTCAGGCTGGTCTAGAACTCCTGACGTTGTGATCCGCCTGCCTTGGCCTCCCAAAGTGCTGGGATTACAGACGTGAGCCACCATGCCCGGCCTGATTACAATATTTATTACAGTAACGTATTGTACAGGTTTGTAGTATAGGAGCAATAGGCTATACCATATAGCCGAGGTGTGTAGTAGGTTATACCATGCAGGTTTGTGTAAGTTCAGTCTATGATATTCCCACAAAACGATTCATTTCTTAGCATGTATTCCCATTGTTAAGTGACACATGACTGTATATATGCTAACATATTTTATGTATTAGATATATTACAAAGCATACCCTGACATGAAAATTAAATAAGGATATTACAAAAATGATCATAAATAGAAGTTCTGAGATTATCTTCCTGTGGATTATTTTCCTGGGCTGTGTACACTCCCTGTTTGGAGATTGTCGGCCAGATGAGGTGTGAACAAATTGAGAGAGGGATACTGCCAAGTAGGAGGGCTGATGGGTCTGGGGAAAGGAATAGTGCCGGGAGGCTCAGGGTAGACATGGGGCTCAAAGAGAGAGTGGCACGAGTTTCTTAGGACCAAAGAGAAACAAGGGAAAAAGAATGCAGTGAGCTGAAATGAAGCAAAAAGAAGAGAGGAGAGGAAGAATGTAGCTTGGAGCTGGAGGAGTAAGTAGGGTGATTTAAAAAACTGGTGAGTGCTCATTGAGGTGGAGCTTACTGACAGAAAGGGAGCTAGAAACTCTGGTTGGAGTGGATCTGGCTTATGTGGACCCGGCTTATGTGGACCCAGCTAAGTGAGCAGCATGAGGCTGGCTTGTGATTTACCTACCGTTCATATGAGACACACCCCATCGTCATGCAATGATGACTGACAGATTGTGCTCAGCTGCAGAGCACAGGGAGGGAAGGGCTTATGTGAGACTGGAAAGATGGAAAAACCATAAATTTCAAGGGGGAAACTTGCACTGATCCTGGTAGGCTTATAGGTCACAGGACACTGTGGCTCAGTGTTAGCTTTTTGAGTCATTTGATAACAGCACTAGGCTGGCCAGTCATCCTGGTTTGCTCAGGCTGGACCTGGTTATGTGACTGAAAGTCCTAGGTCCCAGAAAACCCCTGAATTTCAGGCAGTAGTGCTCAAAAACACTCCTAGCAAAGGTCCTGCAGAGGGAATGTGTTTCCTAAACCAAAGTGTTTAAGTGTGTGAATGGAGGAGTTTCCCTTCTGACTTCTTAGGTTACATGAAAAAAAAGTTTTTTAGGCTGGGCGCAGTAGCTCACGCTTATAATCCCAGCACTTTGGGAGGCCAAAGTGAGTTAACTGCTTGAGCTCAGGAGTTTGAGAACAGCCTGGGTAACATGGTGAAACCATGTCTCTACAAAAGGACAAAAATAGCTGGGCATGGTGGTGTGTGCCTGTAGTTCTAGCTACTTGAGAGGCTGAGATGGGAGGATCGCTTGAACCCAGGAGGTCGAGGCTGCAATGAACCATGATATGGCACCACTGCACTCCAGCCAGGGCAACAGAGCAAGACCCTGTCTCAAAGAGTTATATATTTTTTAAATATAAAGTTAAATTACCTTTAGTTAATGTATGTAATAAATTAACTTTGTGATGACATTAAGATGGGAAGAAATCCCCCATGTGGGAAGTGATAGGGCTGATGGCCATAGATGTTTTCATTTGCCCACCACACATGCTTTTATCTAAGGCGACTTTCAGTATCAGCAGCGGACTCTGTTTCCTGCTCTCAGGAATCACAAGGAGAGTGAGACAAGAGAGCAAACAAGGTAGGGAGGCCTGGTTTCTGTTTGACTACCTGTAGGCCTGCTCGCCTTCCTGCCACCTCCCAACGTTCAACACATCAGCTGCAGGTTCAACTTTAGGTGCTTTTATTCAGGGGAGCTAAAAACTTACTCAAAGAATTTCTGAGTCATGGGGAAAATTAAGATTCCAACCTACATTTTCTTTCATAAAGGTTTTCTTTAAGTTACAATGTTTATTCTTTTATTTTCACAAAAGTAATATAAACAGTAATATAAAAGTGAAAGAATAAAAAAATTTACAAACAAATCCAAAGGAGGGATGAATAGGTGGGGCACAGGGGGTTTTTAGGGCAGGGAAACCACTCTGTACGATGCTGCAATGGTGGATACATCACACATTTGTCATTGTACATGTGTCCAAACCCACAGAGTGCACAGCACCAAGAGTAAACCCTAAAGTCAACTATGAACTGTGGATGATAATGATGTGTCAGTGAAGGTTCATCAATCGCAAGAAATGTACCACTCTGTGGGGGATGTTGGTAACGGGGGAAGTGTTTAATGTGTGGGATATAGGGGCACGGTATATATGGAAAATACATATACCTTCCTCTCAGTTTTGCTGTGAACCTAAAACTGCTCTAAAAAAGCAAATTCTAATTAAGAAAAAAGGAAAAGAAATCCTCAAGCCAACAAAGCATAGAGAAAAACCTCTGATTCCTGTAAGAGATACCACTGTTAACATTTTGTCTTTATTTGCCTCTTGTCTTCTTTCCTTGAATACATATGTTTTACATATTTGGAATCAGGCTGCACATACACATTTTATTATGTTTTTTTCATTTAACTTTGTATTTGTCAAAAATATTTTCTTGCTTTGTTAAAAACTCATTGCAAGCATAAATTTT